ACCCGGTGCCCGCGGGCGCCTCCGGCTCGGCCTCCGTGGGTAGGCCTTCCCCGCCCGAAGCCCCCGCTTCTCCCCGGCCTTTCCCGGAGGAGGCGGCAGAGCGGGAGGGCTCCGGGCGGGCTTTCGGGGGGGGCGCCTGCTCCTTTGTGACGGGCAGAGGCCGGGCCGGCGTTTGTGGGGGGGCGCGGGGGGGCCCTTGCTCCGCCTGGGAAGGAAGCCAGGGGAGCGGGGGGGGGGCTGCTGGATTCCATCCAAGCTCCTGCCCCGGAGACCCCCCCCCTCCTCTCGCCCTGGACGCCCCCAGCCCCCGACTTCTTCCTCTGCTGCGCAGCCCCTCCCTCTCGCCCGGGCCTTCCAGGGAGGGGCGGGGCTCCTCTGCTTCCCCTTCCCTGCCCAGAGGGCCTCCCCTCCCCCTCCCCGCGGCGTGGCCAGAGCAACCGGGGCGCCCGCCCGCCCGCTCGCTCGCCTTTGTTCCCTCTGGCGGGCCGGCGCACCTGAAGGCGGCAGAACTGCCCCGCTTCTCCCAGGAGCCCTTGGGGAGCCTCGGGGGCGGCCCCGTGTCCGAGAGCGGCCTCGGCCTGCACGAGGGGCGGCTTCCCTGGGCAGCGCTGGCCGTCTCCTGGGAAGGGGGAGGCGCAGCCGGTCCCGAGCGCGTCTCCTCCGAGGCTTCCAGGCGGGCTTCCTTCCTGCTTCGGGAGCCCCGAGGGCAGCTGGAGGGGGGGCGCTGCCCGCCCGGCCTCTCTGCCTTTGGAGGCCATTCCGAGGCGCGAGGAACGCCGGGCGAGAAGCAGCCTCTCCGCTCCGCTTCCTAACGCCGGCGATGGTGAAGCCTGGCGGGCGCCGCTGCCCTTCCTGCCCTGGCCCAGAGCTGCACATCTGTAATCGCCCTTTGCAGCGACATCCAGGGCTGTGCAGGCGAGACCCACAAAAATTGGGATTCGTTTTGTTGGGATGATGGAAGTTACGTTCTGACAGATTTGGAGAGCGGCTGGTTGGAGAAGGCCGGCCGTTTGTCTGTGGACCTGGCAACAAAGCTGGCTGAACTCCACGGGTCTTCCTTCGCACGGGCACAGGGCTGAACAGGGAAGCGTTTTCAGACCTTTAGCCTGCCCGATGGGGTTGCCCTGTGCCCATGAGAAGGAAGACCCATGGAGTTCAACAAGCTTTGTCATCGTGGTCATAAAATGGGTCAGCCACAGGATTGACCCAATTTTAGAACTTTTTTTGCAGCAACACCACAGTCAGTAAGCAAACCAATAGTTCTCTGTGGGGCGATTTTGCTGAAATCTGGAAGTGTTGCCAGTTTTGGGCAAAGCTGTCGTACGAGGCGGTCATATGGCCGGAGGGTGCCGCAGGTGGCCCCAAATGGCTGTGCTGCTGAGGTCTGAAGTTTGGCACATAGGACTGTAGGGGTGGCCCATCTGTCAGAAGTCCAGATCCGGGTCATAAATTCCCTTTTTCAGGTTGGTCTAGCTTTGGTTCCTTGGGCGGACAGCCCCCTTCTGCTCTCAGCTAGTCCTCCTCCCTTCTTATGGAGATCCCCTCCCCAGATGTAATCATAGGTTGTGTTTCCAGCAGCTGTTGCAAGTTAACACCAGACATCTTGCCTTGTGCCAACCGAGATGAGACTCCTCTTGCCAGCTCCCCAGAGGCTTTCTTTGCTGAGCCTAGTAAGTGGGGCCTGCTCCACATCTTCCAGAGTTGGTGTTTTATGGGGGGGGGGAAACAAAGTTGAGGAACCAAGCAAGAATGGAAGCGCGCTGATAAGACAGGCAGCAAAGATGGGGAAGACTGCTGCAGAGATTGTGCTCTGCGTTGGTGGAGAAAGATGAAAACCTGAGGCTGGGGATCCATGCCAGCTATCCTCCCACTCCTCCCCATGTTCCAGAGGGCTTCAGAAGAGATTTTGGCTGACAATGGACTTCCTGTGTGGCTATGGGTCCAACAGAAACAAAGGCTCAGCAGAGATCGCGGCTGCCCAGTTCATCCCAGAAGCATTGAAAAGGGGCACCTTTCAATGGCCACAGCCTGGGATTGTGTGGGAGGGAGGGGGCCGCAGAAGGGCGGAGGGGAGACCAGCATCTTTCTGCAGTGGGAGAGGCTCGGCTTTGCTCAACTGAGAAACGGATCCAGAGTTTGCAAATGTTTCTGCAGAGGGCTAGATTGAGCTGGCCAGGAGCAGCCTTGAAGACGCTTATCAGTGGTCTCCAGAGACTCTGCCGAGGACAGACGCCCGTCGTCTGATTCACGCTACAATCAGAAACTTCACTTGCCTGTGAATTGGGTACCAGTTGTGTTCATCTTTGGTCAAAAATGATTTGGGTTATATACAATGCGAGGAAATATTTTATCCAACAGGCAAAAATATGTAAAGCTTATTTTGTTTAAAGGGCCTAATAGGAATCTTCGCAAGTATTTTGGGCTCGTTAAATTAAAATAGCAAAACTGGCCAACAGAATGTGGAATGTGCGACTTACTAGGATAATCAACCATTTTCAGGGGCTTTTGGGAAAGAGGATGAAGGCAAAGCTGATGAGCAGAGAAGGGAAAGGAGGAAGCGGCTGGCATTACAGGCAGAGGGTGGTGGATTTGAACAGAGCCTAAGAAAAGAAAAACAATTTCCTTTGCAAAAAAACTGCAACAGGACAAACTGTTACGAGCACTTTTGGGAAGTGATCACCACGCTAGTCTGTTCTGCAAAAATCTCAAAAGAATTTTGTAACGCTGTCAGGATGAACACATTTATCCTGACCTAAGTTTTTATGAAGGACTCTTCACATCTTGAGATGTAAACCTCAACCTGGCATCTTATTCTTAAAAGTGAGATATTGGTTACAGGTAGTCCTTGACTTACAACCATTCCCACTGATGACAGCTGCAGAACGGGTGATGTACAGTCCACGAAGCACCCCCTCCACAGCCATTGTAAAGGGCTGTGTGGCCCCTCCCGTGGTCACAGGATCGCACGCCAGGCACTTGGCGACCGGTTGCGGTGTTCCACGGTCACGTGATTCCATGGTGTTTTTTGCTTGATTCCAGCATTTTTTGCCAGTTTCCGGCAAAAGCCCCCATTTCAAGGAATGGATTCCTGTTTGCTTAAGAACTATCACAAAAAATGTAGCAAAATCATTTTCGCTCACCTGGATGCCTTGACTTAGGACCATAATGACTTATGACTGGATTTCCAAAGATCTACCTGTACCCTGCTTACTTTTCAGTTTGAAAAAAAAAATTACACTTTGAACCTCATTGAAGACAAAGTCCAACGTGTGCTATAAACCTTATTATCATCATGGTTATCTTTATGACACCAATACTCTGTTAAGAAAGTATCCCTTAAGCAATTTCAGAACTGTTGCCTTAATTCCCACATTATGCTAAGTCACATTTTTAAAAAGTTGTTTTTAAAAGGAAACAAATGCTTTAGAAAACCCTAGTAAGACCACACCTGGAATACTGCATCCAGTTTTTGGACACCGTACTACAAAAATGATGTTAAGACTTTGGAAAAAAGTCAGAGAAGAGCAACTAAGACGATCAAAGATTAAACATATGAAGAATGGCTGCAGGACTTGGGTTTGGCTAGTCTAAAGAAAAGAAGAAATAGAGGAGACATGATAGCAGTATTCCAGTATCTGAGGGGCTGCCACCAAGAACGGGGTTATTCTCCAAAGCACCAGAGGGCAGGACAAGAAACAATGGTTGGAAACTGACCAAAGAGAGAAGCAACCTGGAATTAAGGAGAAACTTCCTAAGAGTGAGGACAATTAACCAGTGGAACAGCTTGCCCCCAGAAATCATGGGTGCTCCATCTCTGGAATTTTTTAAGAAGAGGCTAGAGCTAGACAGTCACTTGTCTGAGATGGTATAGATTCTCCTGCTTGAGCAAGGGGCTGGACTAGAAGACCTCCAAGGTCCCTTCTAGCTCTATTCTATTCTAAAATTTGTTTATCCATTAAGACTCCTTTGGATGAGTCTCACTTCCGCTTCAATACAGCTTTCTAATGTTGAACTGCCTATAAAACTGCTACTTCCTGTATCTAGTACAGCATCTCTCTTTAGAGCACTTGCCCTGTTTTGGAAATCCTTTGCTACTCAGTTGATGAATGGTGTTTGTTTTGGCAGTATTTTGGCTCCTGGGATTAAGAAAAGTAATTTTGCAACTGTTGCAGTGTTCAGTGGTTATTGTGTGTACTTCCTGCTGTTCCTATTTAAAGTAGTCCCATTAAGAGCATCTCTCCCTGAAGTGGCCTTCTCTTGGCTACATGTTTACCTCACTTATCAATGCAAGAGGAATAGGGAGGGAAGCACAGAGAGCATCCCCTGTGGCCTTCCAAGTATGATTGAACAATTTCACAATTTCACGCATAAGGAAGACCAAAGATGTCCCAATCCTCCTTTGTCCATGTGTGTGTGTATGTGTGGGTGTACACCTCCTCCTCCTGGGTGTGGCTTGAGCCATGCAGATAGAGCCATACCCCTTGGTGGAAATCTTGATGATCAGGTATTTCACTTGTTCTATTACACAAGTATGAAAAGGAGACACAGCAGAGGAGAAAATTAGCTAGAATGTTTATCACCCCCATTTAACTGCCCCCCCCCGTGTCTGAATTGGCAGCTGGACCTATTCAAATTTAGCCATGAAGAAGCTGCAGGGGGGGGGGCTGTGCAGTACGTGAAGAGAGGAGCAACAAGCCTTGAGCTTTGAGAAGGTTGGGGTAGGGAAGACACCCCCCCCCCGCAACAAGGGGCTCTGCCCTTCTCTGGAGGGGGCCACCCAGAGCCCGGCTGGGAGTCTGCACCTTCACCCAGTTTGAAGGACCAACTCTAAGGAGGCTCCCTCCGTCCTACGTGCAACTTCTGCTTATCAGCCATTTCGGTTCCAGGCCAGCAGTTTATGACATCCTTGCGGGGCCTGTGCTGGGAGGAAACGGGATATCTTGTGCACGTGCAAAGAAAGAGTTATTTATAGACAGCAGAGAAGTAACACAATCACCGGCAAGCTTTGTGTGCATTTATTCACTGGACCTTGTGCTGTCATACAGAAGGAGAAACATGCAGCTCATTTTATCCCTCGGCTTGAATTGAGGCATGTAAAAAATGGTAGAGACCCTTTTGAGTGGAGAATGACCTGGAGGCCTTTAGTGCTGGAACGTGCATGTCAGAAAGTATCACAGTCAGCTGGTCTTGGTTTGAAATTTCCCAGCCTCAGGAGTCTCTTATCCCACCTATTTAGCCTTTGAAAATCTGCAGCTTTTTTCTGATTTCAGCAGGACTTTTATAAATCAGTAAAAAAGGCAGCAGCCTTTCAGTTCTGGGCACATTTACTTTGAAATGCAAGGATTTTCGCAGGGGCTCTTCAGAGGCGACGAGGCAAAAGACTCTGTGGGAGTTTGCAGCAAGTGATAAATCTGTTACAGGAATTCCTCATCTTACGACCAAAACTGAGCCCGCAATTTCAGTCATCAATCGTGACGGTCATTAAGTGGGTCACCAGGTGACTGCACTCAGTTTTACGAGCTTTTTTCAGCAGTGGACATTAGGCAGAATATAGCCGTCATTAAGTGAACCCCTTGGTAGGTAAGCGAAGCCATGGCTCAGGAGGGGGGCTTTTTTCTGGAAACCAAAAACATCCCAAACAGTACTTCAAATGGCCGTAAACGCTGGCCAGTTGCTGAGCACCAAAGCGCGACCCTGTGACCATGGGGGAGGTCCCTGGAAGGTCATAAGTAGCTTTTTGGGTCACTTTGGATGGTTGCTAAGCGACCGGTCATAAGTCTGTATTTTTTTGAGTAAGGAGGTAATGATAAGAGATTCAGGAACAAAACAAAAATCGAAAAAGAAAGCTTGTCAAAATGGATCGATGTAGAAGAAGCCACGATTTTTGTAACATCTTGCAAGTAAGAAAAATTTGGTCTGGTCCCGATTCGGGTTCCTCGTCCTCCATTTTTTTTCACATGTTAAATCTGTGAAAGCTCTCCTGGCCATTTCCCAGTGGATTTCTTTAGACACATTTCCAAAGCCATCTATGGTTGTGGAAGGCGCATGCAGTTCATTCTGGGTTCAGGTCAGAAGGCCTCCCTGGGAGGGTCCCTCGCAGATGTTCTCCTCCCATGCTCAGTGGGGGCCCCTGGGGACCAGGCAGCTGCTTGCTCCCCACCGGTTCTTGCAGTTTACAGATGCAAAACCGTCTGAGAAAAGCAGACAACCTGCACCAGGCTGTCCGAGAAGGAGCAGCTTGGCCCATCTCCACAGAATCCTGACTGTCGCCATTTCCGAGAGGTGTTTGTGGGCCTCTGGAGGAGGACTAAAGTCTCCTCTTGCGCTTCATCTGCAGCACATCGATGCCTCCTCCACCTCTGGGCCCCGTGCCCGGGGACTGAGAACATGCTGGCACTGCCCTGATTCAGGAGCCAGGATGGGGGGGGGGGAACAAGCTGAGGCTGAGGTCCTGGGGCAGAGGCAGACTTTGGCTCTGAGGGCAGCATCGGAGCCCTCTGGCCAGAGATCTGTTCAGACACCTGGCAAGAGTCTGTGGTCCCTTTCCCGCAACCTACTTCAGAGAAGGAAGAAGTTTCAGAAAGTAACAGTGGAAGGGAAGAACAGTGGATGGGTTTGCATAATGCACAAAGCTGTCATACGGAAGTCCTTGACTTACAACATGACCCATTTTACAACTTTTTTTGCCACAGGCATTGGGCAAGTGAGTCTGGTTGCTAAGCGAGACATCACACAATCACAGTTTGTGACCTTCCCTGCTGGTTTCTCCAAAGCTAGCTGGGAAGATGGCCAAGTGTGACTATGCAACCTTGGGACACTGCAGGGACCAGTCAAAAGCCACTTTTTGCAGTGCCGTTGTAACTTTGAACGGTTGCTAAATGAATGATCATAAGTCAAGAACTACCTGTATGCTTTTTGTATTGTGTACTGCAATGTGTGAACCCAGGCACTGTGGTCGTTTCCATGCAACGCTTTGTAGCTAAATAGCAACAGCACTTAAGATTTATATACTGCTTCACAGTGCTCTCTAAGTAAACCTCTCTCCATCGCTCATCCTATGGTTTGGCCTCCAGACCTCTTACCTCTTAGTTGCTCTTCTCTGCACACTTTCCAGGGTCTCAACATGTTTTTCTGCATCATGGAGACCAAAACTGGACACAGTATTCAAAGTGTGGTCTTACCAGTGTAGTATATAGCGGTACTAATACATCATGGGATCTCTGTTGATGCAGCCTAGGACTGCATTGGCTTTTTTGGCGGCTGCTGCACACGGCTGGTTCATACTTAAGTGGTTATCCACTAGGACAGCTAGATCCCTCTCACAGTTACTACTGTTGAGCCAGGTATGGCCTCTTCTATGCCTCTTTGGTTGTCTTGCCTAAGTGCTGGGCCTTACTTTTCTCATCAGTGAACTGCATTTTGTTGGATCGGGCCCATTGTCCAAAGAATGATCTTTGAATTTGGTCTCCATTTTCCTTGGTTTGAGAAAATGGCTGCCAATTCACCTCATAGGTGTAGCCTCGAATATCTTTCCATAATGTTTAATTATAGAGTATCAAGAATAGGCTTGCTCTGTTAGTTATTTTTAAATTGTGGTTTTAAAATAGTTTTGTTTTTATACATAAAACCATTTATTAGTTGTTAGCTATTTTGATTCTTGCTTTTGGTGGAAACACAAGGCGATCAAGCAGAACCCCCAAGAAACAGAATAAAATAGAAGACTTGCTTGAAGTAACTCCTGCTGAGTTCCTGGAATTTACATCCTGGGTCAAGATTGCAAATTCAAGAGATTTTCCCCGCTGCTGGTTGCCTGGATCAGCCTAATTGCTTTCGGTTATTTGGAGCTAAGGTGGCCTCCAGAAACTAAACGTGATTTCTTGGAGCCGCCAATTATGACTCACTTTGGAAGGCAACTTTGCAGCCCTGTCTGGGCACTTCCAGCCCTTGCATGCTCAGACAAGAAATGAATGCAATGGGCACTCTGACATACTGCCGGGGTAAAAATTAACAGAGGTGGGAGGGTGGCGTTTTCCTACCTGGTTCCTCTAAGCGGCCAGCAACCAACACTCAACAACTTGCTGCTGCAGGAGCCGGAAGGAGGCTTGAGTACAACCTTTCCAGAGCAAAGGTAGCACCGGTCTCAGCTGGTGCTCCCCTCCCTGTCAAAGACAGGGACCCCACAAACTCTTTAAAAATGAAGCTGAAGAAATGCAAATGAGTGTGATCTTTACCTTCCCTCCAGTGCTGTGTTTTGCAACCCTACCAACTTTAGGAGATTTCAACTCCCAGAATTCCCCACCCGAATTGCTGGCTGGGGAATTCTGGGAGTCAAAGTCCACTCATATTAAAGTTGCTCACCTTGAGAAGCATTGCTCCAGCGCTCCATGATATCAAGACCATGGTATAGAAATTTAGCAACAAGTTGGTGAGGCTGCAGCTGTTCTCCTTTCTCTTCTTCCTACTTTTATGAAGCAAGCAGGAAACAAATACAAGACTCCCAGACCCAAACTAGGCCCAAAATTACCCATGGGCGCTGATGACTACCATACCAGTATCTTGGAAACTATATTAAAGGTTGCCCATGGGCACTCTGAAAAGCAAAGCTGCATTGCTGCCTGTCAGTCTGGCTAGGCCGACTGCCAGGGGTCCCCAGAATTTTAGGCAGGTGGTCTCCTTCACTGGGACCTCTTACCTACGTGGAAGGTGATCTGCAGGAAGAGTAAAAAAGTTCACTCTCTTCTTCAGTCTGACTGAAATGTTTCAAACAAAAGAAGAAGAAATCCAGTTGTCACGACTCAACTTCCAAACAACTCTTACCTGGATGACTAAGAACCTTCATGGACATTTGGTCCATCTTGGGAGGCTTTCAAGAATAGAGCAGGCAACCATTTCACTGGGATGGTACAGAGTCTCCTCCTTGAGCAAGGGGGTGGACTAGAAGACCTCCAAGGTCCCTTCCAACTCTGTTATTCTATGTTATATGTTCACTTAACAACCACCTTGCTTAGCAACGGATGTTCCGATCCCAGTTGTGGTTGTAAGTCCAGGAGTACCTGCACTCCCTTGTGGACCTGGTGTTGCTGCTGCTACTTTCCTATCTCCACCCCACCCCCCTTTTTTTGCCAGGCAGGACCAGGTAGGCAGCCCACCTCTTGGGAGGCCGGGTGGGCCTGCTGTTCTTGGCGGCCTGGGCGCCTCTTGCCAGGATTCCGCTCCAAGGCAGGAAGGGAGCCTCGGCACGAGGCTCTCGGCGCAAGCAGCCTGCAAGGGAAGCTGAGTCACGGCTAGCTGGACTCCCGGCCCTCCTGCCTCCTCCATTACGCCTCTTCTCTCGGGATCTTGGTGCAGCTGAGGGAAGTTATGCCTCTGCCCTGCACAATCACACAGGCACCCGCACAAAGGCCCGGACCAGCTCCTCAGGCTGCACCGAAGGCGTCTCCTGGGGGGGGCTCCGTCCGGCAGGATCCCCTCATTCAGCCCGAGGGGCCTCCTCGCCTCCGCTGTGGGGGAGGGGCAGGGGGAGAAAGGCGGGAACTGAGCGGACCCCAAACCGGCCCCACCGGGGGAGCAGCTGCGGTGGGGCAGGAGGAGGAGAGAACGGCTGCGCCGGGGGGGGGGCGGAGACGGTCCGAGGGCCCACCCGAGGGCACCGGGCAGAGGCTCCGACCGGCACCTGCTCCTCCACCCAGGCGCTGCCGGAGTCCTTGGCCGCCCTCGCCACCCCCACCCCCCCAATGGGCCGGGCTGCAGCTGACGCGTCCCCGGCAAGGGGCACTCCTGCCACCCCGGCCGTCGGATCGGACTCCGGCCCCCCTTCGGGAAGAAGGGCCGCCCGATCCGCCGCTTGCTTCGCCCTCGGGAGACTCGGGGGCGGGCGGAGGGCGCGGGGAGGGGGAAGCCCCGCGCCTTAAGCCGCCACGCTCGACCCGCGGACCCCGCTCGACAGCCGCTCCGGGCCGAACCCGGCACGGGGTCCCTCCTCTCCAGCGGGAACCGGCCCGCCCCGGCCGGAACCACCCTCGCCGCCCCGGCCCCGCCGCGCGGCTCGCTCACCTCGGCAGGGGGAGCCCCTCTCGAGCCGGAGAGGCGGGCCGCGGATGGCAAGCGTGGAGCGGCGGCTGCAGGGGGACCTTCGGAGGGAAGCGAAGCGCGGCGGAGGCGGAGTGTCGGGGGGGGGGAGCTTTCCACACCCCGGCGCGCTCCGCAGGCCCCGCCCGGCCTCCCCACACGCCCTCCGGGCCGGCCGAAACTTTCCCCGGCGGCGGCGGCGGCGGCGGCAGCGCCTCTCCTCCGCGCCTCGCCGATCGGGCATCGCCCAGCGAGGGAGAAGGACGCGCGGCGGCCCCTTGGGACCTGCCCGCTCTGCCCGGGAGAAACTTGAGCGGCCCGGCGGCGCAGCAGCAGCAGCGGCGGCGGCAACCGGGGCCCCGCGCGCTCCAGAGGCCGGGCGCCCGAGCGGGGGGGGGCTTCCGATGGGGCTCCCGGCGCCGGCCGCCCCCGGCCACTGAGCCGGGCCGAGGGAGAGGCGGGGCCGCGCGACCCCCGAGCTCGCCCCCCGCCCGCCCGCCCGGAGATGTCGGCCAAGGGCGCACCTGCGGCGGCCCCCGCGGAGAAGGGCCCGGGCTGCCCCGCCGCCGCGCCCGCCAAGAAGAAGAAGCCCAAGTCCGGCTCGTCCAGCCTGCGCCGGGCCTTCAGCTGGCTGCGGGGCCGGCGGAAGAAGGCGGCGGCGGAGGGCCAGCCCGGAGCGCCCCCTGCGGAGGGCAAGAAGCGAGAGGAGCGGCGCGAGGGCAAAGGTGAGGCCGGGCCCGGCGGCGGGCGGGCGGCGGGGGCGCCTGGCGGGCGGGGGGGCTCTTTCGGGCTCCCCCCGGCCTCTCCCCTCCGACGCGCCGAGCGGCTCTCCTCGCCCAAAGTTGCAGCGCGAGCCTGTTGCTCCTTCCTGGGTTTGCGGGCTCCGTCCCTGCCCCTCCCGGAGCGGAACCCGGCTCAGCCTTTAGGCCACCTGCCTGTCCGGCTGGCTTCCCTCGGCCGGGGCCCCTCGGAGCAGAGAGCCCTTTCTTTGGGGACGTCGAGCATCAGAAACCGCCCGGGCTTCCCCAGGTGGGAAAAGGGCTCCGGCTGCAACCATCCGGCTGCAACCTGGGGAGGCGGTCTTGCTCTGGGGCCGCAAGACCGCCTTGGGCTGCAGCTGGGCTGTTCTGCCAGCGGTGCCAGGTGTGGGCCTCTCACTCCCCCTTGCAAACCCCTTTCCTGCCAAGGCCAAGGCTTCTCCGCGGGCCCCTCCTTCCGGGTCCTCGGGTCAGGGATCCCCGGGGGAACCCTGGTACGGCTCCAGATGCCCCAAACCAGGGAGGGAGCTTTGCAAGACGTGATGCAACCGGGCCCAATCCCGACCTAGTCATCTTGCCGGGGAAGCAAGGAAGGCTCTTGCTCTCCCTTAGGACTTAGGACTTTGGACTGAGGGGCAGGGAGGAAGGTGCCGGGTGTGTCTGGCGTGGCCCATCTGTGCAGCCGGGTCTGAGCAGAGTTGGGAAAGTCCTGGACCGGCCAACCTGTGGCCTGCATGCTCTGGTCCACCTGGAGGGTCTTTGCCTGAAGCTGCCTCTTGGGAGAGTTCACCACTTCCTGCTGCCTGGTTCACTCGGTTCAAGGCCGAGTCACACCAAAGGGGCGTGCCTGGGTGTGTGTCACACAGATGGAATGGAGCATTGTGCTTTGGCTGGAGGCAGTGTGCCAGGCAGGCAGCTGGCCCTGGTGGATCGGGCTCAGGACTGGCCAAAAAGTTTCCTTGGCCTGAAGATCCTCAGAGGAGGAGCAAGTGATGATATGAGAATAATGTGATTTTTTATAGGTTAGCTAGATACTCCAGGGAAATAGCAACAAATCTGGAATCCATTTGTTTTGGCATATATTTTGTGGACTGACAAAGCGCATTTTCACCCGTGCAACCAGATGCCATAATATAGTTGTTCACTGTTTAAGATGTCAAGAGGCTTTTTATACTTCTGCAGAGATAAACTAATATGGTTGCTGCCTTTTAAAAATCCATACCTTACACAGATCGTCTGACCGGAATGGTATATAAGGTTGGACTAGAGGACCTCGAAGGTCCCTTCCGGGGTTCTGTGTTCTGTGCTCTTTCCAACTGAGTTAATGGGAGAGCATTGATGTCAGGGGAAAAAGCATCCTGGGCACATTGGTACTACGGTACTTGGAGAAACCGAGTCCATCGAGGAAGCCAGCAGTTCTTCTCTGCCGCCGTCTCTGCCACCTTGCTATAGGTTGAAGCATGCTTGATACCTCCCCCCACCAGGAAAGTCAGGGGCCACCAGAAGTCCAAGCCGTGGAGGCGTAGTGGCGGATCCGTGAAAGCAAAATCTGCCAGGCATTGCAAGTGAGGCCCTTGGGGGGCATCTCCCCCTCCCCCTGGCACCAGGCGAGCCAAGGGGGGACTGAGTGCAGCTCTATGCGCAGACCTCGGCCCGGTTGCCCGATCCCAGGGGAGTCATGTGGAGAATCCCAGGGCCATCCAAAAGACAGAGAGCATTAGGAGTCCTGTCCAGTTAGAACCACATTTTTCAACTTTGGCAACTTTTAAGATGCGTGGACTACAACTCTCGGAATGCCCCAGTCAGCCATGCTGGTTGGAGGGTTCTGGGAGTTGAAGTTCACACACCTTAAAGTTGCCAAGGTTGAGAAACACTGAGCTAGATAATCCTATCTCACACTGGTGCTCGTCCCAGAGGTTGGCTCTCTCACAAGGGTTGGGAGCATGATGAGAGTTGTAGGCCATTATATTTAGAAGGCAGCAGGTGGGGAAGATTGATTTTGGTGACTATGCTTGCTTTTACAACTCTTTTTGCTAAGTCATTAAGCGAATCTTCTCCCGTTGTTTGTTTGCTGGAACTGGCTGAGAAAGTTGCAGTTGTTGATCATATAACTCCGGGACGCTGCAGCTGCTGGCAAGACACGTTGGTTGCCTAGCACCTAAATCATGGTCACATGACTGCAGGGAAGCTGTGAAGGTCATATGTGCGAGGATTGGTTTAAGTCACTTTTTTCAAGGCATGGAAAGTGGCAGGTTTTGGAACGGGGCTCTGCTAATACGCTAATGCATCCGAAGAACATTGGGCAGTTTTGGGTAGATTCCCTGGAAAATGATGGTAAAGTCTGATGACACCTTTTAATTTCAGATACAGATTAGTGTTCTTTTTCAAAAAAAAATCATCAGCCATTGGTGTGTGGCTTTCCAATCTGGAAATATTTGCACACCCTTCCGTAACTTTGGGACCAGAATCGGTGCTCTTTTCCTTGTACGGATGTGGAGATGAGCCTGATTTGCCACAATGCCATTTCCTAGAGAGTTGTGGGTCTCAGCACAAGCCTGGGATTATGTTTGCAGGAGCAGGACGTCTGTTTCGGAAGGTTTATGTATCTTGGAAGGAAAAGCCGTGCTGTGAGGTAAAACCTGTTGGCAAAACTTTGGTTATTCTGTAGAAAAATGTACCTGTCTCCACAGCTGAAGGACTTTCCAAAAGGACAAGGCCAGGGGTAGGCAACCTTGGCTCTTCCTCTTCCTCTCTCTTCCTCTCTCTCTCTCTCTCTCTCTGCGCCCCTCCCCCCAGCAAGGTAATCCCAGGAGGCTGGCCAGGTGGGGAAGGAGACCTGCCCGTCTTGAGATCTGTGGTTCATCTGTTGGGGCAGATCAAGCGAGCCACTTAAACCAGCCTGGCGCTGGGAAGGGTGTCCGTGGGGTGCGTGCATGTGTCAAAAAAGTCAAAATGGTGGACATGATCAGAGCCCTGCCCTCTTTTTACGTATGTCCTCCTGCAGAAGCCCCCGAAAGCTGGTTAGTCTGCAGCTCAACTGTTTTTTAAAATATATTTACTTTGGCTTCATTTTGGAAGGAAGCGTGATGTACAAGTAACATTCATTTTATTTATTTACAGTATCCTCTTTTTATTATTTTTTTTACAAATAACTCAAGGTGGCAAACATAATCAACAGTCCTTCTTCCTCCTGCTTTCCCCACACCAACCTCCCTGTGAGTGGGTTGGGCGGAGGGGGGAGGGGCTGCTCCCCCAGCATTAACGCTTCCTCCCCCCCCCCGCAGAATTCTTCCCCAGCCCTGGTCACAGCAAGAAGGCCTTTTTTATATATATAAAACCATATTTTATTATTTTTTTATAATCACAAATCCTTAATATTTTAGCAGCAACATGTTGTCTGGGTTCCAATATTTAGCTTACTAATACATGTTAAACTCCTTTCTCTCTACCTTGTTTTTCTAGCCAGTGATAAAATGTATCCCGTGTTCTAAAGTATTGTGAATCTTTTTTCTCCTTCATTTTCAATGCAAGTCTGCCCATTTCTGCACAGTCCAAAATTTCCCTGATTATCTCTTCTTCCGCTGGGGTAATTCTTCACCCTTTCCAGTGTTGAGCAAATGCAATTCTCACTGCACTTGACACATGTAACATTAAGTATACACATTCCTTCTCCTAATTCCCTGCAATTATACTTAACAGAAATAATTAATGCTTGCCCCCTGTGGAATTTCCCCCCAGCCCTGGTCACAACAAGGAGGCCTTGAACGGGCTTTGAAGGGAAAGAGAGGAAACGCTGGGGCTGTCAGAAAGTATCTCCAGCAACGGTTGGGCCTTGTGGGAAAGAAGGGCAGAGAAGAGCGTTGTCAGAATGCGGGCACTGTGGAAGAAGCTGCAGAGGGGTAGTTCCTGACAAGCAACCTTCCTTCCCTTTGGGGACACCCTTGATGGCCGGGTCCCCTTGAAGCACGTGAGCGCAGGGAGCCGCACATGTGAGTTTCTCGGTGGATTACCAAGGAGACGTGAAGTTCTCTGCTTGCCAGATCATTATGACTCCAACAGAGTTCTGCTGGATGAAATCACCGCCGTCTCCCAGCACATCTTATTCACTCCTTCCAAAATGCTGAGTGCAGACGGGCCCCACCCTGCTCGACTCTTTCGGCACCGGGGCTCATGCACAGTTCGACAGCTGCAGCAGCCTTGAGGGGCCCAGCAAGGCCTGGATGGGAGGGCTCGCCTTTACTGG